GGGCGAAACTGTACCAATGTACCGTAAGGGCTTTTTGCTTGCCAATAGGTTCGTGTTCCTTTTTTTTTTTCAATTGAGTGCCAAACATTGGCATTATTAAGATCAACGCCAAATTTTGGCTTGCAATGGGGTCAAAAATAGGCATTTAAAAGTAACATATCAAAATATTGGCATTAAACAGTAGAGTTTTTAGAGGACATACGAAAAAATATTTGACCAAGGCACCTTGACGCGGTCGTTCAGGGTTGGAGTCGGTCTTAAAACTTTTTCGGCCTAATTCGTACGTGTATTTTTACGAAGGATAACACCGCTCCATCGCTGCGATTGTCTTACTGCTCTCTTCAAGAAGGTATGAGGCTAGTGTTTACGAGCTCCGCGTAAGGTCGCTGCAGCGTGTCGGCGCGGATAGGCCGCACCGGCTCGTAGACGGGGCTTCAAATTGCAGGCAGCTGTTGTAAAATTTATAGAAAGGGCGTTGATAATTTTCCGGTCGTTTCTAAATTGTACGCTCTTGAGTAGAATCTTGCGTCGTCATTTTTCGAGTTGTTCGCTTTTGTTATTATCATTTTATTTCAAGGTTACCGATAAAATTTTCTGTCAGGTTCAGCAGAGACTGAAGAGCTGGCGTAATTTTCCTTTCGCGATAATGGCTGTCCCATCCTATCGGATACTACCGCGAGCCCTCCATACACCACCAGGCGCCACCAGGAGAGGGACCTGATTCCCGACACCCAACGCACATTGCCGTCATGATTTATTTCTCCTGCGATTGTCAACACTATCCAGAGGATGGGTCTCGGCGAGATCGTTTCATGAGCAGCTAAAAACTTTGTGCATTTTTGAAATGGTCCTTCTCGTGATTTGTTTGGCGCTGCTGTGCTGCAGCACATGTGCCTTCTTTCCTTTTCGGCCTCGCCTCTTTCACGTGCTGGTGTCGCCTTCTGACCGTTTGACCTTGGCAACCAGGCAATAACTATAGGAGACTTAATGTACCAGTAATCCATAGTGAGAGAACAGTATAAGAACTGACAGTAATGGGGCAAAAAGTAATCCAGATCCAAACATACGTACTGGGACAGGCGGGCACACGAAGAACCAGCTTTGCTTGTGACTGCTGCCCCCTCCCCCTTTTCCCCTCTTCCCCCTCTCCATTTCTACTCTTCCTCCGGGGGGGTCGCTGACCGATCTGCCTGTCTCGCGAGGCTGCTACGCCTCCCCTCCTCCTCTCACTGGTGTTCTCCTTCTCCCTGTACCACCACTTCCACCCCTCCTCCCTTTACCCCCCTTTTTCCTAACCCCTCACCCTCACACCTCGTTGGCCGTGCGTTCTTGCCTGGAGAGCCGCTAGGAAAAATACCACTTGCTCGAAGTAACACACTATGCAGCAGTTAATGGCACAGAACTTCATGGATTCAGCCCATTCAACCCCAGCCCCTACAATGGGGCACGAGGCAAGGCCCGAACGCCCGAACCGCCCGAACACATCTCGAGGAGGACGGCCCGGCCCGGCTCGGTGCCCGGGGGACTTAGACTGAAAACTTTTAAAAATATTTTTTTT